CAATATTAATATAAAATCTGTTTTTTTAGATTCTCAAAAAATTTTGATGACTTTCGCTTTGTTTCTAACAAAACAATCACTTGGAAATGTAGCCCAGTATTTAACCGAATAACATTTTTTTTCTTCGGCTGGAAAAAAGCACACGGATTATGATGCCGGTATACATTATATCACAGAAGAAAATACTCTCATTGGTAGTTTGTGTCCATTAAATAATTCGTTACAAATTGCAAATAAATAATTAAAATAAACTCAGTGAATGTTTCATATAATAGAATTAGACATTTCAGGGAAGAGATTTTCTATGAAATTGACATTAATTTCTATTGTTGTATATAGGTAACAATAAATTTAGTATCGAATAATTTAGCAATACTACACCAATAATTCTTGTTCACGATCAAACTTGATATTTTTCCTTTTTAGTAGAGGTACAACTGTAAAATAATGACAAAGACACAACTAACAATGAGTGTTAAATTTCGAAATTCTCAGACGTAGTTGGGAAATAAAACGCGCGCGCGCGCACTCACCCCACATGGAAATATAAAACTAGCTCTAATTTCAGAATATGCCGTAAAAATGTATAGTATGTATTTTATGGATTTTGGATAGTGACGGGTGTATTTGAGTTTATTAACGTTCGCTGTAAATCGGTCCGAGGAAATACATTGAATAGATAGTAAATTTTTTTTTTCGTGTGCAATATTATACCTTACACATATATAGATATATATACTGTAATATGAAGATACCGGAGGTCTACTTTGAGTTGGGTTTATGCTCGGTACATATAATTATAGTAGTGTTCCCCTTTGCTGAATCGTGACTCATTCGTTTTTGTTTCATGGCTGATGCATAATACTATATATGTATACGAATAGATTGGTTGATTAATTTCTATTCTGCAATATAGCGGATTGCAAATGACACAATTTGCAGTTATGTGTCAAATGACAAGTAGCAAATGTAATCGAAGATTGTGGTATATTAGAGGACGTTGACTGTTAAGAATCCGTTTAGATTGTTTTACTGTTTCTACCTTGTTTGGTAGTTTACAAATCTTATAATAATAAATTAATATACATTAGAACAAAATTGTCAAATGATGAAGAAAGTACAGTGGATCAATTTAACGAAATTGTAATTCTAAAGAGATTTTATAATTTTTTGGAAAGTTAATATATCATCAGTGTCATTAATTAGTTTGTTGTCAGTTAAATTGGAATTGACCGACAAAATTCGTTATGGCTTACATATATATGTTTCACACAAGAGATGTCGTACCTTGGCACGAAATATGGATTTTTGGGGCTTGTTTTAAGGGTGCGGTGAAGCCCACCTTCGACACAATAGCGTGTCGAAAGGCTTTCTGCGCGACTTTGATTCCAATAGAAGATGATATATATGCGCCACCACCTTAGTAAATTTTGTTAAGAGTTTCCGTTTCTTTGTTAATTTTCATTAAGAAAAGTTGAATTAGGTGCGGCGTTAAATATTCCTTTTTTCATATATATATACCATAATTCTAAAATAGAGATAAAATTAGTAAAAGTTTATCAAGGTTAGGAAAAATTTTATTAGACAGGTAGGCACGTGGCATTCATAAAGAAATTTACGATTTTAAACAGTTCATTGGGTTTTTTTTCAAGGGGTCGAAAAAAATTCTTCATATATATAATTCCTTATATCCTGTTTAGAGTTAAAATTTAATAGAAAAATGTATATGTCGCATATATATACAGAAATCGATAGAATCAATAATAAGGAAGGAAACAGGTTATTAAGATTTTTGATAACATTTTACTTTACGTTCGTATTTTATGTTTCTTACGAATGTTATTTTTTTCAGTTTTATGGGAATTTAAAGAAATCGTCTGATTTAGTACCATTTTTTTTAAATAAAAATGCTAGACGACTTAAATAAGAGATTAACATGAAATAAATCTAGGTTACTTCCAGCAAAATTTGTAACTACGATATGAATTTATTATTAAAAAATAATGATTAATTTAACTATATCATAGTTTGCAGATTATATTAAGATTATAAATAAAAAAAAAACTAATGATTCGATTTGAATAACAGTTTTGTTTGTCATCATCTATTGCATAATTTGCCACAATATATAAATGTATATATTGAAAATAAAACGTCGCGACGTAAGAAAAAAAAAATAACAATCGATGTCTGATGAATTTTTTAACAAGACATTAACCTGAATATTTTATTAGGTCCAAATATAATTTGATATTGCCTCATCCTGCTCTGAAACATAGAAAGGCTTCCCGGAATTCGTTTTCTCGCGCGCTTACGGTCTCCGAACAAGAATTATGTACACGACCGGGTTCATAATTGCATGTGGCGAGAGATTCTTGCAAGAGAGGAGAAAAGATTTTATGACTTGACGACCCACTGTCGATGAAGCCAGTAAATCTCGTACCAAAAAAAAAAAAAAAAAGAAAAAATGAACGAAAGAAGAAAAAAAAGTCGATTACAGTCTTTATTCATGAATAAAAATTCTCATTTCTGCAATTCGCTTTCCTTCGAATTTCAAAATTTGTTGACCCATTTTTTCTTTTTCTTGTACGATTCAATTACATACATATTATATGGTACAATTTTTTTCATATTTGAAAGGGTTTGTCTGTGAATTAAATTCTTAATATGATAAAAATTAAAAATATTTCATTTCCCCTTTTGGAAAATGGAGAATTTTTTCTCTTTTTATCATAAAATTTTTAGATTTTGTTAAATTATATATTTCTTTTTGTTTTTTGATAAATATTTTATTCCTGTCGATTATCGCATAAGTTTTTTGCAAATAAAAAATCCCTTACTTACACATGATTGCAACATGTCAAGCAAAACGTGACTTTCTTCCAAGTTATATGAGTAAACTAATCGTTCGAAAGAGTCAAGCCTCACGATATTTCATTATTATTATTATTATTATTATAATCCATATTTATTCTGTAACAGAAGGGCAAGACAAAGAGATTTATATATCGAAAAAAGAAATTTGTCTCTCTTCAATATTATTACTAATATGAAGTAGGAACTTATTTTTTATTATTTATTCGCAAATTAAAATATTCTTTGTAATAATTATTTATTCATCAGTTCTCGTATAGACAAAAACAAAGAAAAATTATGAATAAAATAAAGAAAAAAAAAATCTCATTAAAATATAATTGCGTGAAATATTAAATTCTTACAATACTTTGTTTAAATGTTTAAAATTCACTATACACAAGAGTTTATTGCACTCTATTTGAAATGATTATATATACAAGTGCAATTACTATTTTTAAGTTATATCATTATTCTTTTTTGGGAGGAGAAAAGACAATGTGTTACGTGATAAGAAAAACTCTTGTTCATTCTCGTGGTTAAACGAAAGCAAATTTTTTTTATTTTGGTATTGTGACATATATATATATGTGTATAATAGGAAACAAAAAAAAAGAAAATAAAATTTCATTCTGACTTTGACGGGATTATATGTTACATGTCCGATCGGGTATTATGTAAATGTGGTTTGGCTGCGGGTATATATGTATCAAATTTCAACTCGATGTATCTTATACATATATATATATATATATATATATATGTTTATCGCGTGCCTTAGTGCACGCACATTTTTCTTTTGACAATTTAATGGAGGGATGAAAAACTGCTTTTTCCAAAATAGGAATTTTATCCTCGAGTGAGATAAATATTTTATAACATGATTTTATAATCTTATCCTTCAGTAGAACTGTATTTTTAGATATGTGTTAAGATTAACTATTTATTTAAAAGTATATTTTGTCTTTTGGCAGAAAGATTAATTATATATAATTATGAATACTAATAATAATTGCATTATGATGTTTAATTTAATAAAAAGCTGTTGATTTTCTTTTGGATTTATTCAAGTTAACTGTTTTGTTATGGTTAGAAAGTTCAATTTTTTATTTAATAAGCCAATATTTTATTACTTATTCTGTCAATTATATGAAATATTCACAGTAAACGTTTTGACATCACACGTATATGTCATTATCAATAAAATAAAAATTAATTGTTTTACGAATAAACCATAACAACAACAATAGTGTATTTCTAACCTCAAAACGAATAAATCAAAAACCTCAAAACCATAAAATTTTATAACGAAATGTCGGAAATGATTTTCAATTTTCAAAAATTTTTGATAACTTTCACTTTTTTTCTGACAAAACAACCTCTTGCAAATATAGCCCAGTATTTAACCTAATAATTTTTTTTCTTCTTCTGATGGAAAAAAACACGCTAATTACAATGTCAATATAAAATGTGTTTTTTTGATTATTAAAATTTTTTCATAACTGTTGCTTTTTTCTCTCAAAATAGTCACTTTTAAACATAGCCCAGTATTTAACCGAATAACATTTTTTTCTTCTGCTGGAAAAAATAAACTGATTATGATTCTGATACAATGTCAATATAAAATGTGTTTTTTCTGCTTTCGACTACTGTCAGGTTAAGTTATACTACTCTAAGAGAGGTGAAAAGTACATTTATTGATGATATCTTGCAGATGGCGCAACCTACCAAAAAGTGATTTACTATTTTAACATTATTGAAAGCAAATAATTATGAAATGAAGTTATAATAATGCAATAATAAAATATTGACTGATTAAATGAAAAATTAAACTTTCTAACTGTATCAAAAATAATAATTATTTTAGTACAATAATGACTATTTATTTTCTGTATTTTTTTATAAATTTTTTTTGAATTAATTTAATTATATTACAATGAATTATTTCCTTAAAATAATTATGTTTTTCCATTAAATTTAATGATATATATATATAATGATGTGTGTCTTTAATTTTGATCTGAATTGTAATAAGATAAACAATTAAATCAAGTATATATATATATATATATTTATATATAGAAATTAGAAAATGCAATTAATTTGAAATTAAATGGAAACTGCGCTTTTTATTAAAATATATATAGAAGTGAACAAAGCAACAGCTACTCAGAAACTATGGAAACCATGGACTCAATGAGTGAACAAGACCTGAATCGGCAATACTATCAAGTGCTTCATGCTATCATTAGAAAGCAATTTGATTTCCTCGATGATGATTCTCCAATATACTAATTAAATTAATCAAGACTGGAAAATTGTTTACAATTGAATTGCAAAATAATGTTTGGAATAGTAAAATAAAAAATTTATATATATATATATAAAAGAAAAATAATGGTCAAACACGTATTTATTGTTTTTCTATTGTTGTTATTAATTATTTTAAATTAATATTAAATTAATAAAAAATTAATATTAAATACCAATTTTTACTATCGGTTATTTGACTATTCAATTAAATATAAGTATTAAATAATTATTTTATGGATCAAGTAATTATTTATTTCATAATATTCAAGTAACCGATTATTTGAATCAAATAAATTTTTACATTGTAAATTTTTTTTTCTAAATTAAAATTGTTGTACTTACTAATTTTATTTACTTTTGAATTAAAATTCCAGAAATAAATATTTTTATTTTTTAGTCTTTACATTTTTTAATTCCTAACTTTAAAAAAACATTTAAAAATATATGTATATTGTGTACATTCACTTAGTATTATTTTACCTCTTTTTCATTTATATATTCAATGTCATTATACATATTATCAACTTTTTTTTTAACAAGTATATTTGTTCGTATTTCTTAATTGCAAATATATTTGCACATTTCGCATATATATGTATATATTTACTTAATAGTGTGCATAATTTGTCTACTATGGAAATACATAACAATAATATATCTCACACATATGATATCAGAGTTTCATAATTTAAAATGATTAAAAAAAACTCGTATTTATTTTGCAGAAAAAAACATATATAAAGAAAAATTATATCTGTAGGAAAATATATATATATATAAATGGGAGAAAAAGATTTCACTCGAGTTATTTGTCGCAGTAAAAAAGTCAATCACACGCGGGAATTACTCTGTCTCTTTGAATATATATACACATGAGAATGACTTATTATACTTTAATAAAACAAAAAACAAAATTCCCAGCGATATATCTTTCGAGGGAAAGACATATATATAAATGTAATGATTCTGACTTGATTTTCACGGCAACCAGGAAATTACAATTTGTTTTTATTTCACATTTCTCAATAATTAATCTCTCGACACATATATATATATATATAGATATACATATGCTTGAGGAAAAAAATTCATTGTTTCAGAAGAAATTTAGTAATAGCATTTTTATAAAAAGAGATGTATCTATTAACTTTTTATTGAATCAATCAAAAGTTTATTTAGATCAAATAAATATTTATTTGAATCAAACAAATTTTGTTTGAACTAAGTAAAAAAATTTTAGGTTAAGATTCTTTGCAAAATGAAATACAATAATTGCAGAAGCACCTTTAATACTCTGCGACGTTTGCGCTGCGCAGTGTACGTTCTAGTTATTTGCCAATGAGAGTATTTTGCGAACCGCGCGCTTTTTTAAAAATCAAAAAATACATTTCCATTGAGTTCATTGTTAATATACAGTTAAGTTAAAATTAAAATTATTAATTTATTTCTAATTATTTATAGATTTAATATTTATCAATTAATAGTAAATTATTAATAATATCAGTTTTGAATCTATTAGGAAATAACAATTTGACACAAAAAAAATTCTTTACGTATTATTTTCTGAGGTATAATTTTTTTTTTTTTCAAAAATATAGTAATCTACCTGAAGGACAAAGATTCTTTTTTGTTGTTTACATATATTAATTATAAACTATTAGTTCCAGTAATTAGCCAGAAATAATCCAGTTTTCATAAAGTTAGGAAATCCTTTTTCTTTCTCTCTCTCTCTCTCTCTTTCTCTCTTGACATCCGGCAGTTTTTTGTTGTCAGTCTGCCTTTTGTAATATTTGCTCGTTACTTTATGGGTATGTGTTTCGAAGGCTTGCAGACAAATGCGCTGAATACCTTCGCTCAAAAAGTAGCGCGCTACTGTAAGAATATATTGTAGAAAGCGAGTTACGCGATTTTCTGGATGTATTATTTTTTCCTCATAGAGGAAATATTGATATTAATAAACAAAAAATTTTTTTATTTTTTTTGAAATATTTAAATTGTTTTAGGAACTTAAAAATTCGTTTTTTGCAAAATATTCTGATAATTTTATAAGCGAATATTCTCCTGTTATTCTATCTCTAGAGAAGTTTATAAATTTTAAATATCGTAAATTTTGAAAAAACGTGACTTTTTGCATTTAAATTTTTATAAATAACAATTTTTTCATTCGACTTACTCATAATTTTATTTCCAATGTTTTTGTTATTATTTCGCGTAATTTTTTTTTTTTTCATTCATCAATATTTTACAAGAAACTCAATTGTACTCGTTTGCACGCGGACAATATTTGCGTTTAAATGAACACATTTATAAAAGCACTAAATTATATGTTTACTTTCACGTTGAAGAAATATATTAGACAATAAAAAAGTAAATTTTCTTCCTTGTTTATATGCATAGATATATATATAGTTATTAGAATTTTTAGTAAATTATGCAGAATATATTATTTTCCTCTGAACTATAATTAAAGATAATTAGATCGGTATTTTGTATTTAATTTTTGTTACGTGATATATATATATATGATTTTATGTAATAAAACGAATACTTAATCAGCAAATTCTAAAATAGATTTTGAATTTTTGACCTTTTAACTGCTCTACCGGTCTCTCAGACCGCTATATAATTTTTTTGTATATTAATTTTTTTAAAGAACAATAGAAGCATATGAGTCATAAGTGTAATTAAATTCTTGTACAGGTAACTTCTGCGCATCTTTGTGCGCAACTAGTTTTTTGTCGCTGTTAACATAACCTGCAATTATTATTGTTTTAACGTTTTTTCGATTCTGTAAACATGTAAACACTATGTAAATGCTTAAATATAATTTAAATTCACTAGAAAAACATAAAAAAAAGGAATAGCGGTCTAATAGACCGGGAATAGCACTAAGGGTAATTTTTTAGCACTTTGCAGTTAAAAAGTTAAATTTCGAACTTTTATGCTTCTTTTAAACATGAAAATTTTTCAAAAAATTTTTATCAAACAATTTTTTCATACTTTTACCGGTCATATATTGAAAATTGACAGTTTTAAATAATTGAGAAACAAGCGAACCTTTAAAGAATAGTCTTTTAACCTTTTGCTTGAAACCTCCATTGTTTCTGTAATATTTGAAAAAAATAATTTAAAAAAAAAATTTATAATGCACATTATAACAATATTTATATGAATGACATTTCTATGAATCAGTACAATTGATAGTACAATTCATGTCTCATTCTTCATTATAAATTTCATTTTCTACTGAATCATCTATTGACCTATATATTCATCTCTTAATTTATATATCTGTTCACTTATACTACCTATACATTGTCGAAACTTCTAAAAGGCATTTTTTTTATCACGTGAATAGAAAATGAAAGTTTTCATTCATATATAATATATTTATGATTGAAAAAAAGTATAACTTTCATTATACATTGTTATTGGGTGTATGAAATAACAATAATATTGTGAAGAATATTATAATATATCTTTTGACTTCTTTAAAATGTATTCATATATATATATATATATATATATATTTATTTTGATTAGAGATTTTAAAAAAATATTACTTTCCATTTTACAATGACGTGGAACATGGGACAACGTGTTGTATATATATCTATAATATAAGTTACACTATTAACTTGCAATAGGGGGGACTTTTGAAAGGTCCGACACACAACCGAAGGTCAGAACACGAAGTTGAATGTTGTCTTGATCATAAATGACATCTCACGAAAGCATAAACGTCAGAAAGACTTCTTCAAACCACTTGTGCGAAAAATATATTTATATCTCAATATATTGCCACTTTTAAGATTTATGATTTGTTTCGTCAATTCTTACTATATACTTTTGAAAAAAAATTCAAAAAAAATTTTACCTTTTTTGAAATATTAATAAAATATTAATTTTTAAAAATTTTATATAGTTTTAAAGTTCAAGAAATATTGAATAAAAAACATTCTGCATGTTTTAAAATTTGTTCATTAGTTTAAAAGTTATTTTGATTTGAAAATTTTCATGCAAAAAAACTTTAACCCCTGACAGTATGGCAACCAGGAATTACATAGATCAAAGAATTTTTTAAAATTTTAGGTTATATATATACGACATATATCATTTTTAAAGACTTTTGGTTGGTTGCTATTGACTTAACTTGCCATTGTCAACTATTGCACTCTGCTCTAGTAAAAATATAGTAACTTTATGGTAACTTTTAATTTTATAAAGTTTCACTAGAGCAGGGTGCGGTAGTTGACGAGAATTAGTATATAAATGGCAAGTGGGGTTAATGGAAACCAACCTTTTATTTTTTCCATAGCTCTTTTTGCATAAAATGACCCTACACCTTGAAATAATTATTTACAAAAGTTGTAGAGAAGATACGTATTTTATTAAATTGATATTTTTTAAATAAAAATTTATTTTATTCTTAGTCAAAATTAGAAAGGCGAACGGTTGGTTTATATTGTCACCACTTGCCAAAATCTCCACTCGCCATTTGTCATAATTTTCGTCAACTACCGCACCCTGCTCTAGTAAAAATTTAGTAACTCTATAGTAACTTTTAATTTTAACAAGAAAGTCACTAAATTTTTACTAGAGCAGAGTGCGGTAGTTGACGAGAATTATGACAAATGGCGAGTGGGGAGAATGGAAACCAACCGAACATAACCTTAAACTTTAACAAATTTAGTTAGTAAAGTCCAACGCACGATAGGTTCGCGAATAAGATGCATGAGATAGAAAAGGAGAGAGACAGAGTTTGTATCCTTTTTAATCTCATGTGTCTCATTCGAGAACTAAGCAGAATTTTTAATAAACCAAAAAATGAGTTAGAGGAGAATAGGCATATTATTATTATTGTGCGTTGTCCTTAATTTGTCTACACTGTAAAAAAAGCTTTTATGTTCCATTACATATTCCAAAAGTAAATTAACCTAATTCGATAATGTTAATTTAATATCCATTGTAAATTTATGTCAAAAAT